GCCCGCTCTGGCCCCAGGGATGCACTTAACTATGGCCGCTGGCTTCGCTAAATTCACGTTTCTCATAATGGAGCTGCCAATGATCAGAGTTGGTTTCTCAGCGGGTGTGTCGCTGAGTGGGGAAAATCTGTTAGAAACGTGAACAGGTTGATGATGCCCCGTGGACTTTAAATGCTTACGACTATTCCTCCTTCGGACAGTCACCCAGGATAATAAGTGTTTAGCGAACAGTTGGTCGCTGTAATCAAACAAATGTAACTGTTATTTAGCGAGAGCAGCACAACACGGTACCAACACACAAGCACCGGAAACGGAAATGAGTCGACACGCTTACCGCAATACGTCAGCAGATCCAGACACAGGCTCCAAAACAAGCAGTCGAGCACTGTGAGGGTCATTTTTTTTTACTTCTCCAGTGCCCTCAACACCATCTGGCCGGTTCTGCTAGGTGAGAAGCTCAGACAGCGTGGTCAACAACATTGGGGCCCTGCATGCAACGATCCTCTCTCCCTTCCTCTTTAACATCTACACCACAGACTTCAACCACCACACAGAGTCCTGCCATCTTCAGAACTTTTTTGATGACTCTGCTGTGGTTGGATGTATCAGCAAGGGTGACGAGGCTGAGCACAGAGCTGCGGTGGGGGTGGTCTTTGTCACATGGTGCGAGCAGAACCATCTACAGCTCAATGTGACAAAGACTAAGGAGCTGGTTGTGGATCTAAGGAGAGCAAAGGCACCAGTGACCCCTGTTTCCATCCAGGGGGTCCCTGTGGACATTGTGGAGGATTACAAATACCTGGGAATGCACATGGACAATAAACTGGACTGGAGAACACTCAAGCCCTCTACAGGTAGGGTCAAAGACGTCTCTATTTTCTGAGGAGGCTGAGGTCCTTCAACATCTGCAGGACGATGCTGAGGATGTTTTATGAGTCTGTGTGGCCAGTGTTGTCTTGTTTGCTGTTGCATGCTGGGGCAGCAAACTAAGGGTAGCGAATGCTAACAAACTGAACAAACTGATCCACAAGGCCAGTGATGTTGGAGCTGGACTCTCTGTCGGTGGTGTCAGAGAGGAAGATGCTGTCTAAGCTATATGTCATCTTGGACAATGTGTCGTACCCACTCCAAGACGTGCTGCTCAAACACAAGAACACTTACAGTGCAAGACTTATTCCCCCAAAATGCAGCACAGAGCACCACAGGAAGTCCTTCCTGCCTGTGGCCATCAAACTTTATACCTCCTCCCTCTAAGTGTCTGAAACTGATACTTAGTTTTAAGATACTTAGTTTTAAACTGGACATTGTCATCAGTTCTTTTGTGCAATAATACCTGCTTAAATACTTAATGTGCAATACTCTCTGCTGCAGTTCTGCTGCTAATATTATTACTGTTCACCACAATAATTCCTTTATTTATGTAAATACTTTATCATGACAATTCCTTTAACTTTGTAAATATTGTACAAATTCACACTCCTTTATATTTCTTTTATTTTATATTTTTACTGTGATATTTACATACTTCTTTATATTCCAACTTTCTATCTTTATTTATATTCCTTTTGCCTTTTGTGCAATGTGTGAGAACCTGAAGTGGCCTTCCTACTGAAGAGAAAGTGACATCTTAACTGAGGACCTGCCTTGATGAGAGGACTGACAGACTGCCTTTTCATTTGCATTGTGTCCCTTGGAAAGCTGCTTGTAAAATGTAAATGCAATGCAATAGACTGGGAGCGCTGTTTAACTCATTGCATAAAGTCCACTATAGAGCAGAGTAAATCTTTGAAAATGCAATGTCAAAAGCTGTTCTCATTTTCATTGCCACATATTTGGAAAATGGCATTTTAATTTTAATTTTGACCTAAAAGACCATGAGGATATGGACATGTAAATGCAATAGACAGGGGGCGCTGTTTCACTCATTGCATTTGAATAAAGTCCACTGTAGGCCAGACTAAGTCTTTTAGGGTTTTAGGGTTTGTGTAATGATGTGAAATGAAATAATTTTTACATGTATAAAAATATACAGTATTTGAGAGGGAAGGGGGGTGACAGTTGGGGCCCTGGGTCTTCTTAATAAGGCTAGCTGCAGAAGGGAAGAAGCTTTTTTTGTAGCGACAGGTTTTGGTTCTGATGGACCAAAGAGGGGAGAGTCTGAAACAGTTTGTAACCGGGATGGGAGGGGTCAGCTGCAATCTTTCCTGCTCGCCTCAGAGTCCTGGAGGTGTACAGGTCTTGAAGAGATGGAAGATTACAGCCAATCGCATTCTCTTCAGAGCAAATGGTATGCTGCCTGCCTTTGTCCCTGGCAGTGGCAGCAGCATACCAGATGGTGATGGAGGACGTGCGGATGGACTCAATGATGGCGGTGTATAAGTGCACCATCATTGTCTTTGGCAGGCTTAACTTCTTCAACTACCGCAGGAAATACATCTTCTGCTGGGCCTTCTTGGTAAGGTAGGTGATGTTCAGCTCCCACTTGAGGTCCTGGGAGATGATGGTGGCCAGGAAGCAGAAGGAGTCCACAGTGCTGACTGGGGAGTCACACAGGATGATGGGGGAGGGGAGGGATGGGCTCTTTCTGAAGTCTATTGCCATCTTCACTGTCTTCAGAGCGTTGAGCTCCAGACTGTTCTGGCTGCACCAGGTCACCAGATGGTTAATCTCACACTTGTAGGCAGATTCATCCCCACTTGAGATGAGCCCAGTGAGGGTGGTGTCATCAGCAAACTTCAGGAGCTTGATGGACTGGTGACTGGAGGTGCAGCTGCTGGTGTACAGGGAGAAGAGCAGAGTGAAAAGAACGCAGCCTTGTGGTGAACCGATGCTGACGGTCCTGGAGTCAGAGATATGTTCTTCCAGCTTCACGTGCTGCTTCCTGTCCGTCGGGAAGTCAGTGATCCACCTGCAGGTGGAGTCAGGCACGTTCACCTGAGAGAGCTTGTCCTGCAACAGGGTTAGGATGATGGTATTGAAAGCAGAGCTGAAATCCACAAACAGGATCCTGGCATAGGTTCCTGGGGAGTCCAGGTGCTGGAGAATGAAGTGAAGGGCCATGCGTCGTCTACAGATCTGTTGGCTCTGTAGGCAAACTGCAGGGGGTCCAAAAGTGGGTCTGTGATTTAAGGTGGGACAACACAAGGTGCTAAAAAGACTTCATTACCACAGAGGTCAGGGCGACATGTAGTCATTTAGTCCTGTGGTCCTTGTGTTTTTTTGGGGACAGGGATGATGGTTGAGGCTTTGAAGCAGGCTGGCACAAGGCATGTCTCCAGTGAGGTGTTAAATATGTCTGTGAACACCGGAGACAGCTTCAGCACAGTGCTTCAGGGTGGACGGGGAGACAGAGTTCGGCACAGATGCTTAGCGGGGTTTCAGCCTCTTGAATAGTCTGTTGATATTCCTCTCTGAGATGGAGAGAGGGGGTAGGGGGTGGAGCTGACCCCCTCTGAGGAGAGGGACGAGGGGATGGTGGACAATTGTCTCTCAAAGCGGCAGTTGAACTGATTCAGCTAAGTTGCCGGGCGAGAGTCATTGATGGATTTGGGGGCTTTGGGTTTGTAGTTTGTGAAGTGGCGTCATTTGCAGAGAACTGGTGTTTTAGTCTCTCTGAGTAATATCGTTTAGCTTTTCTCACCTCCTTGCTAAACCTGTACTTTAATGCCCTGTCTCCACTCCTAAATGCCTCCTCCTTTTCCAACCTTAGCTGAGTTTGGCTGTGAACCAGCGTTTGTCATTGTTTTAACTTACCCTGGTGCGTGATGGTACACAGCTGTCCTTGCAGAAACTGATGTTGGATGTCACAAACATCAGTAAACTCATCCAGTCCTGAAAACATCCCAGTCAGTGCAGTCCAAACACGCCTGAAGGTCCTCCACACTGGTCCACTGCCTTGATGTCTTCACCACAGGTTTGCAGAGCTTTAGTTTCTACCTGTATGCAGGAATCAAATGGACCATGACATGGTCAGAGTGACCCAGACGGCATGATAGGCACTGCTTATTGTGGTGTAACAGTGATCCAAAAATTTCTCCTCTCTTGGACATTTGAAAAACTGTCTGTATTTTAGGAGTTCTTGGCTGAGATTTCCCTTGTTAAAGTCACCAAAAACAATAACATGGGAGTCCGGGTTTGTCTGCTCCACACACCGGTCGGCAAGCATGCGCCGTGCACATTGGCCTGCGGTGAAATGTAAACACCAACCAGAGTGAATGAAGCAAACTCATGAGAAGAATAAAATGATACAGTTAATGATAAAATATTCCAGATCAAGAAAACAAGTGTTGCTGAATCACTGTCATGTCTGTATACCAGCCGCTACTGATATATAAACAGACACCTTCACCTTTCGTTTTGCTGGAGAGTTCTGTGTTGTGGTCCGCTTTGTAGAGTTGGAAGCCAGCTGCAGCGCAGTGTCCTGTATCAGTCCACACAACCATGTCTTTGTGAAGCACAGAACAGAAGATTAATAAACGTCTCTGTTTTTCTCCACCAGTAGGTGAAGTTCACCCAGTTTGTGAGTTGGAGAGAAATATTGCCGGTAGCGATGTGAGGAGTCCATACCGGAAGAAATGCACAAGGGACCCAGGCTCGTTTCCCTCTCCTATGGTGCTTCACAGCCCAAACAACAGCGAGTGTCCCTTTCACCAAAATGTCCAATAATTCCACTAATGATGCAGAAAAGTGGGAAATAAATCCGCTGGAGTTGTTCCTTTGATGTTCATGAGCTCTTCTCTGGTGAAAGTACTCTGGGACAGTTGAACAGGCGCAAATGTAATTAAAACACAAACAGAAAACAAAACAGCACACCTAATGCCGAAGCAGCTATATGCAGCTTCATCTTGGAATGATGGAACTATATCTCATGAACCTACTCTTTATTGAATTTTTATTTTTCTCCATGAAACATCTACTGTTAATTTGTACAAAAAAACCCAAATGTTCCCATTATTTGGTGCTGTAATTTATTACAACAACTCTTTCTCTGTCTCTCCCAGGTGAGTGGCTTCCTGATGGGCTTGAGTGTCATTGGCTCCATCTTCAACATAACAGGCATTGCCATCAACCGCTACTGTTACATCTGCCACAGCTTTAGCTATGACAAACTGTACAGCTATCGCAACACGTTGCTGCTGGTGGCACTTATCTGGCTGCTAACAGTCATAGCCATTGTGCCCAACTTCTTTGTCGGCTCGCTGCAGTATGACCCACGAATCTATTCATGCACATTTGCACAGACAGTCAGCACATCCTACACCATCATAGTGGTAGTCATCCATTTCTTTGTGCCCATTGCTGTGGTCACCTTCTGCTACCTGCGCATCTGGATCCTGGTCATCCAAGTGAGGCGGAAGGTAAAGTCTGAGACCTGCCCTCGCATCAAGTCGAGTGACTTGAGGAACTTTATCACCATGTTTGTGGTGTTCGTGCTGTTTTCAATTTGTTGGGCACCACTCAATTTTATTGGGCTAGCTGTTGCTATCAACCCTGAAACAGTGGCGCCTCGCATTCCTGAGTGGCTCTTTGTGGTCAGCTACTTCATGGCTTACTTCAACAGTTGCCTTAATGCCATTATCTACGGCCTGTTAAACCAGAATTTTCGGAGGGAGTATAAACGGATCGTTATGTCTTTGTGGATGCCACACCTCTTCTTCCAGGAGACATCACGGGGGTGTACTGAGGGCATCAAAAGTAAACCCTCGCCAGGACTCAATAACAACGACCAAGTAAAAGGAGAAACTTTATGACGCTGTTTTCCTCTTCTTTCATCTCCTTGTTCCTCCTCCTCATTTTTCACTTGTGTAGTGCCATCATTTAGATACAGATGGAGAGAAACAGTGAGTGTTGATCAGATTGAAAAGAGGCAAATTGACTACTATAGTTGTGTTATCTATTTTTTTATAGTGCTAAGGCTCACCAATTTCAGTTTGTACTGAGTTAATCTGAAACATTCTTTTTAAAATATTAGTTGCTCTAAAATTGATTTTAACCTGGATTTTATATTTTCATACCTTCATTGCTCAGCTAAGTATACAGTAAATCTCCACAGATGATGGTAAGTACACCTCAAAATAAATTTCCACTAATAGAGTGATCATCAGTGATAGCATGTTGCAGGAAAAACACAATCCATTAATCCATTGATTTGATCCCCTGCTAAATCTTGCCCTAGGACTAAAAGTCAGTTTATTTGTCTAACATTTTAGTTCAGAGCATAACATTTTGACAATTACTGGCCTAAAACGCTCGCTTTTGTCTCACTGGGAATTCAGTTAACATTTCATAGTTTACATCTGAAGTGCACAATTTACATCCAATGCTATTATTCAGTACCATTTCAAGAAGCAGTGTGACCTGCAAGAGTGAGGGTGTAAAGGTTAAGGTGGTGGATGGACGTGTGGCATCTCTGATTGCAGGTCAGACTTTGATGCTAGTATTGTTAAAAACACATAATTTATGGGGACCTGACTCTGTAACTGAAGTCTCTTTTGGCCTTTCCTGTTTGCTTTTGTACCCCTCTGAAAACAGCACAGATTTGGCAAAATTAGGCGACAGTGGAGTTTGAAACAGTTTTTAAACAGGACAAAACAACAACACATTTGTCATGTCCTTTGTAACTTATGGCTCCGTGACACTGATGTTTAAATGAAAGTAACAAATGAATGCAAAAGAGACCTGCAGATGCCGTAAGAGACTGAAAACTCTGCTGTGTCTTGGTGGTATTTACCTCTAAGTTTTGTTTTGTTTGACTAAGCAGCAATGTTCAGTGCTACAACCTCCACCCTGTTAGTCTTTAGAAAGTAGTACCTCCAGAACATGGCCCTTATTGGGCCAGCAACTAGACTTAGATCCTGGTTTCTCTAGGTAAAACACAGGAAAAGTTTGAGCATTTAGGGGCCCCTACCTTGTATTTTATCCTTGCTATTATTAGATTTTCATGCTGATTTTTGCATCATTGATTTTTTTCATGTGATTTTCACATTTTTAGTCTGATGATGAGCCCTAAACATGTATTGAAGTGTCTTATGTATCATGTTCAGGAGCTTGACGGACTGGTGACTGGAGGTGCAGCATGTCACACCTGGCTGCCTGCCCCTTCTGCGTTTGGCCAATATGTATAGGAAAGTGAAGACGCCAAGAAATTAGTAATGTAGGTGCTTCACATCATGAATTCCATGATGGTTGTCTGAAATTCCACACATAGGCTTCATTATCCTTCTGGAGTTTAGTACTGAATTAGTAATGTACTAACGTGCTAAGTGTTTTGCCACACAACATTTATTTAAAGGTGTATTGTAAAACAGTAGTTATTGCATCTTTAAGTCCTACCAGACAAAAGTATTCAATTTTTTTCTTTTTCTTTTAATATAACTATATGTAAAGGCACTACAGCATGATGAATCCCTAAAATATGTCTATCACTTTGTAACTAGTGGATGCCTTATATTTCTGATCGGCATTTTGATGGTTTGTCAAAGGTGCCTGATTTATTGTTCATCAAAATTAAAATTTTATCTAAAAAATAAAACAATTAAAAATGCTGACAGAATGCTATAGGGGGGTTACAGGTATACAGGTGCATCTTGTAAAAAATATATTCTATAATTTTATTCAAAAGTGAAACTTTCATATATTCTAGATTCATTTCACATAAAGTGAAATATTTCTGGTCTTTTTTGTTTTAATATTTCTGATTATGGCTAACATCCCATGGAAATCAAAAATCCATATATTTAGAAATAAAAGAAAAAAATAATGTATAATACAGAAATGTTGACCTGATAAGAGCCTTCAATCAGTCTGGTTCAGTACACACAACCACAATCATAGGGAAGACTTCTGACAGTTGTTCGGAAGACACTCATTGACACCCTCTACAAGAAGGATAAGCCACAGAATGTCATTGGTGAAAGGGCTTGTTGTGCACAGAGAGCTGTCTCAGAGCATGTTCATGGAAAATTGACTGGAAGCTTAAAGTGTGGTAGGAAAAGGTGCACAAACAACAGGGATGACCGCAGCCTTGAGAGGATTGTTAAGAAAAGCCTATTCAAGAACTTCACAAGGAGTGGCCTGAGGCTAGAGTCCAGGAGTGTCCTAGTCCTAGTGTCAGGCCACCCCTGAACCAGAGAAACGTCAGAAGCATCTTACCTGGCCTAAGGGGGGAAAGAATTGGACCATTGCTCAGGGGTTCAAAGTCCTCTTTTCAGATGAAATTCAATTTTGTTTTGTATCATTTGAAAAATCAAGGTCCCAGAGTCTGGAGGAAGAGTAGAGAGGCACAGAATCCAAATTGCTTGAAGTCCAGTGTAAAGTTTCCACAGTCAGTAATGACTTGAGGTGCCATGTCATCGTCTGGTGTTGGACCACTGTGTTTTATGAAATCCAGAGTCGATGCAGCCATCTACCTGTAGATTTTAGAGCACCTCATGCCTCCATCTGCTGACAAGCTTTATGGAGATACTGATGTCCTTTTTTAGCAGGACTGCCAAGTTCTTCTAAAAAAAAGGCCCACAGTGGCAAAATGACTTGCTGACCATGGTATTACTGTGCTTGATCGACCAGACCAAACAAAACAGACAAGCTAAAGGCCACTGTCAAAGTAACCTTGGCAGCCATAACACCTCAGCAGTGCCACAGGTGCCTCCATGTCACGCTGCATTGATGCAGTAATGCGTGCAACAGGAGCCCCAACTAAGTGCTGAGTGCATAAATTAAGCTTTTTCAAAACTTTTAAACTTCTCAGAAGGTCGACATTACTGTATTGACAGACATCTGTAATGTACAGAGTCCTGTATAACCAGGCCAGGAACACACTGACTAAAGAAATGAAAGCAGCAAGAGGAGTCATGCTCAAAAGCTAGAAAACAGCTTCACAGCCAGTGACCCTGTGTCAGTGTGGAGAGGCCTGCTCACTAACCACAGGAGACCATCTCCCAACACCGCTGGTACTCAACGACAAGCTGAATGGTTTTTACTGTAGGTTTGAGAAGCCCACAGTCACACCTCTCCCCAAACAATCATCTTCTCAACTTGGGACTGCATTACATTCTCCTCGAACTCCTCGACACTCCATGGACATGTGCAAGAATCCTGTTTGTGGACTTCAGCTCGGCGTTTACCACCATCATCCCGGACATCGTCAACACCAAACTCACCCAGCTCACTGTGCCAGCCTCCACCTGTCAGTGGATCACAGACTTCCTGACTGACAGGAGTCAGCAGGTGAGGCTGGGGTACATCACATCCAGCACCCGGACTATCAGCACTCGTGCCCCGATGAGAGTGTGCTCTCCCCACTGCTCTTCTCCCATTACACCAATGACTGCACCTCAGAAGATTCATCTGTCAAACTCCTGAAGTTCGCTGACTGTCATCAACCTCATCTGGGATTGTGATGAGTCGGCCTACAGACGGGAGGTTGATCAGCTGGCTCTCTGGTGCGACCAGAGCAACCTGGAGCTTAACACACTCAAAACTGTGAAGATGATCGTGGACTTCAGGAGGAGCCCCCCCACTCTGCCCCCCATCACCATACTCAACAGTCCTGTATCTACGGTGGAATCATTCATGTTTCTGGGATCCACTATATCCCAGGACCTGAAGTGGGAGCCCAACACTGACACCATCATCAGGAAGGCCCAGCAGAGGATGTACTTAGCTCAACCTGCCTAAGGAGCTGCTGATCCAGTTCTACACAGCCATCATCCAGTCTGTCCTCTGCACCTCCATCACTGTCTGGTTTGGATCTGCCACTAAAAAGGACAGGAGCAGACTACAACGGACAGTCAGGACTGCAGAAAAGATCATCGGTGCTTATACATTTCCAGAGTCACGAAATGGGCAGGAAACATCACTCCAGATCCATCTAACCCCGGACACAACCTGTTCCAGCTCCTCCCCTCTGGTAGGCGCTACAGAGCACTGTACGCCTAAACCAACAGACGCAGGAACAGTTTCTTCCCACAAGCCATCACTCTGATGAACAGCTGATTTCTGCCTCACAGTGTCAGGAACAATTCTTGTGCAATAACCTAGTAACATTGCCTCTAATCAGCCACCCGTTTACCGGTTACCACTTTTTTATTCATCATTTTCTATTTCAGAACTGTTGCTATTATATTATACAGTATATATATATATATAATGGCATATTATATTGCCATTTTGTATATTGTATATACTGTATACCAAATCCACCTGCATGTGTGCACGTACATAACACCTGTACATAAGTTATATTCCAGCATCCTTTGCACTATGCTCCATCACACTGTGTACATGTATGTGTACCTGTATATCTCACCGACATGTACATAATAGTGATAATAATTTTACTCCTGCATACTTTGCACTCTGCTCATTGCACTATAGTCTCAATCTGTCTGTATTGTTTTTGTTTATAGTGTGTATATATATATGTGTGTTCTCTATACTGTAGCCTGTGTGTGATTTTAGTATTGTATTATTGTATCATTATTGTATTGTAAGTATGCACATCGTGAGCAATGTACAAACAAGTCAAAATCCTCGTATGTGTACACATACCTGGCAAATAAAGCTGATTCTGATCCTTCCAGGAGATGCCACATGCATGTTAGATATTGTGTTACTGCTTCTGCTTCTGATATTCTAATATTTTGAGATATGGTTTTGATATGGTTTGATTTTCATAACCTGTAAGCTGAAATCAAGATTAAAACAAAATAAATATCTGAAATATTTTACCATATGTATAATGAATCTAGAATAGAAATCAATACAATTAACTACATTTGAATAAAATTACAGAAATATTTTCTAATTTTATGAAATGCACCTGTAGTATAATTAAGCTCTTTTACCACTGTCACTTATCAGCTAATGCAGTGTTAATGTGTGTTCACAGCGAATGGGAAGCTAAGTTTAGAAATGGCACAATTGCATATAGAGAGTTGAAAATGTTTCATGGCTTTATGACTCCAAATCATAAAAGTATAAAGACAAAGAGGAGAGACTGGAGGAAAATACCAACAAAGGACAGCAATTTCTGGAAAGTTTTGAAATCAGTCAGATCATAGACACATGTTAAATAATGTAATCTCATGTGACTCTTATTTTGTTGCATGTCGCTACTTAACAGGTTCAAAGTGTGTTGCACATTCTATCTGAACGTCCTGATGCATACTAAACTTTAAGCAACCACTTGTCCCATGATTTTGGGGGAGACCATTGTGGTAAGACCACTTCTATTTCCTTTAGTGGTCTTTTTATGTTATATCACACTCTTTGTAGTGGTTCTTTCTCTATTCAAACTATTACAACAGATTTGATAAAAAAGAATGTTAAAGAAAAATGCAAAACCATGAAATACAGGGAAACAATAGATTGGATAAAAGGGTTTAGTAGAGCAGGGAATTATCAAACACAATGTATTTTTTCACAATATTAAATTCGTTCACCAAAGTTAAATCCAGGTGAACCTGGAATGGACTGACCACAGCTAAGCATTTGTCATGTAAAAGATTTCTCAGCTATGAACCTGAACAGGTCCATGAGCCATGTGTAAGGCCACATAAGCAGATTTAACAGAGATGTAGGGGTTAGGCTGCGGCTGGGTTTTTGGACTTCAATGCAGTACTCAGAGTTGGTGAATTGAAACAGGGTTTTATTAACAATACGCTGAATGTGAGAGGCTGGGTTCGGAGAGTGGGGGGTCCAGGGGCAGCACTAGGCTGGGAATCTGAGAAGGGGGAAGTCCGCAGGGAATGGGCCCACAGTCCCGGGCATGCGTGAGCAGGAGTGGAGTAGTTGCAGGAGATGGGCCAGGCGGGGAGATCTGCGGTACAGAAAAACAGGGTTAGCAGGGAATAGGCACAAGAACTAGTCTTAGATTTGAACGTGACTTACTCTACAATCTGGTGCTGAGCGGAGGCAAGGACCCGGTATAAGTGGCAGAGCATAATGAGGCTGATCTGGCAGCTCCTGCACACCTGACTCCACTCCTGCAAAAAAGGGACACACACACCCCCCCCTACCTGGGAGCAGGGGACCTGACATTAGGTCGGTCCCATCCACAACACCCCCACCCCGCCGCTATTAATCAGAAGGTTAATTTTTATGACAAAGACCCAAACAAATCCGTGGGTATAATTCTGCACTTCAATAGAAACCACTTATGTAGCACATCTTACCATCAGAATGATGCGCCCATTA